TCTCTCTCTCTGCACATCCTCTGTTCTCTCTCTCTCTGCACATCCTCTGTTCTCTCTCTCTCTCTCTGCACATCCTCTGTTCTCTCTCTCTGCACATCCTCTGTTCTCTCTCTCTCTCTGCACATCCTCTGTTCTCTCTCTCTCTCTGCACATCCTCTGCTCTCTCTCTCTCTCTCTCTGCGTACACACTGTTCTCTCTCTCTGTGCATCCTCTGTTTTCTCTCTCTGAATATTCTCTGCTCTCCGTCTCTGTCTTTCTCCGCACAGCCTATGTTCTTTCTCTCTATGCACATCCTCTGCTCCCTGTCTCTCTCTGCGCATCCTCTGTTCTCTCTCTTTGCACTTCCTCCATTCTCTCTCTCTCTCTATGCACATCCTCTGCTCTCTCCGCACACCCTCTGTTCTCACTCTCTATGCACATTCTCTGCTCTCTGTCTCTGTCCCTCTCTACACATCCTCTGTTCTCTCTCTTTGCACATCCTCCCTTCTCTCTCTCTCTGCACATTCTCTGCTCTTGGTCTTTCTCACTCTCTGTGCACCCTCTGTTCTCTCTCTCTCTGCACACTCTGTTCTGTCTCTCTTTGGACATCCACCGTTCTCTGTCTCACTCTCTCTGCACATCCACTGCTCTATAGGCACATCCTCTGCTCTTTCTCTCTCTCTGCACAAACCTCTGCTCTCTCTCTCTGCACATCCTCTACTCTCTCTGAGTCTGCTCATAAGTCATCAGCTTTCTCCTCCTATCAACATGCTCCCAGTCATCACATGTACATGCAGCTGAGCCTGATTGGCTCTTAGTGCTCCCCCTCCCTCCCTCCAGCCCTTTTTTTTTAAACAGATACAAGCTATTAACCTCTAGTTAACCCTATTTTAAACTTGTAAACTTTTTTTTATTTTGCAGTACACAATGTTTTTAAAAATCAGCCTCTGTTTTATTTAAAAATACTTTTGCCATGCTTTGGACCAGACACATATAATTTAAACATATCAATAATAAGGACATTTAGATATATCCACAGTTTGATTAGATTGAATGCGGGGCCTGAGCAAGGCATACCTTTTCTGAAGTGTTGGAAGGTATGCTATCTGCTTCTCTATATGGATCGTCCTATAAGTCAGAGCTGCTGTGCTGAGAAGTGGAATTATTGTTCAAATATGGGGACGCTATATAATAATAATAGAAAGTAATAATGATGCCGCATAGCAATGCACAAAGCTAAATGCAGCATATTCAGTGACCCACGCAATGCACCTTGCCAGCGGACAACAATGCACCACGATGCAAAGATATGAAACATTTGTGGGCTATGGTGCTATGCATGAAAAAAAAATGCTGCAGTTTTGTTAAAACCTGTTTTGACGAATTGGCCAGTCTATTGAACATGAACAGGTCACGTTACAGCACAAAATACCAGACAATAACATGAGTGCGGTAACACATAGCGACACAGTAGAAATGTCTACAGTGGCCCTAAACCTTTCATCAAATCTCACAATCTAACAGCTGCATTTGTTATTTTGTGAAAAATTTATTTTTTGCATATGAATTGTTTATGGTATGTGTAATTAGGGAGAGTGGTAGAGGTGTGTGGTTTGCCTAGATTCTTTGTGCTATAATTCATTCGTATCTCAAAAAGTTGGTAAGAATAAAAATGACAATAATAATATAAATAATGATGATAATAATAATAATAGTAATAATAATAATATTTTTTAAAAAAACTAATAATATATAC